CGCCGTGGCCAGGCCTATGCATGGAGTCAGATTCAAAGGAAACATGAATCACTCTCTCAACATCTTGAAGAATGGAGACTTCAGTTACAGGTTTTCTTAACACAGAAAACATATGCCAAAATCCCTCAAAATATCTTCCCTTCCCCACCAAAATCCCAGGATGCCTTTAAAAATCTCTCCAGGGCTTCCCTGGTGGCGCAGTGGTTGAGAGTCCGCCTGCCGATGCGGGGGACGCGGGTTTGTGCCCCAGTCCGGGAAGATCCCACATGCCACGGAGCGGCTGGGCCCGTGAGCCATGGCCGCTGAGCCTGCGCGTCCGGAGCCTGTGCTCCGCAACGGGAGAGGCCACAGCAGTGAGAGGTCCGCGTATCGCAAAAAAAAAACAAACAAAAAAACAAAAAAACAAACCAGAACGTTGTTGTTACGTTTCAGTAGGTCCCAGTCCCCTTCCGAGGTCATTCGGGGACCGGGACACACAGCAGCTCCACCATCTTCAACACGTGGCTTCCAGAGTTGCTCTAGTTATCACCATTCCTAGCCAACAGGAAGGGGGAAAGCACGCAAGTCCAGGCCAGGGATTCCCTCTTACTCAAATGAAGTGGAAGCAGCATCCATTTCTTCCACTCACACGTCATTGTCAAGAATTCCATGGCCCCATCTGGCTCCCGGATGGCCTGTCCCTTTACACTGCATGCTACACGGTACAGGAAGTCTCTCTAGACACCCGCTGGCCTACTCCTTTCACACCACTTCACTTCCTCCTTTACTGTTTTCCCTCCCCCATCCCCACACTTGTACCATGTAGGCTCCCTTTCCAGCCAGAAGAGCCCTGGGTTTGCTGGCCACTCTGGGCCACTGTGAGCAAGCTGGAGGACCTGGAGCCTTCACCCTTGCCCAATCCCCCCTCGCTTCCCGGGAGGAAAGCAGAAAGAGCTCCCTGGGATGTGTGGTTCTTTCCCCGCACTGTTTTGCTTCCAAAACATTCTCATAAGGCATTTCCAATGAATGAGATTCTTCACTTCATTACACAAGTAATTCAGGACAACTGGACAAAGGGTGCATGCTGGGGATTAGCAGGAGATTAGGCCAGACAGGTGGGCAGGGGCCAGAGCCTGAGGGCTTTATAAATCTGTGTTAACAGAGCTTTCTCTTTACCCAGAGGGCAAGAGGAAGCCAGGGGGTGCCTTAGGCAAGGCAGCAAGCTGATGTGAGAGGTGCTTCAGAAAAGCCACTCAGGTTACCAGGGAAAGAATGTATAGGAAGGACTGAGGTCGAAGGTTGGGAGACCTGTCAGAGGATTATTGGCGATAATACTCTCTGGGCTCAATTTCCTCAACTGTAGAATGAGGATGACAGCAGCTCTACATCATAAGGTTGCTATGATGACTGAAAAAAATAAGGCATGGAAAGTGCTTACTTAGAACAGTGCCTGGTGCAGAGTAAGCCCTCAATATATATTGGCTGTTATTCTTTTTTTTTAATTTATTTTATTGACGTATAGCAGATTTACAATGTCGTGTTAATTTCGGCTATACAGCAAAGTGACTCAGTTACCCATATATACACTCTTTTCATATTTTTTTCATTATGGTTTATCACAGGATATTGAATATAGTTCCCTGTGCTATACAGTAGGACCTTGTTTTGGGGGGTTTTTTTTTGCGGTACGTAGGCCTGTCATTGTTGTGGCCTCTCCCGTTGCGGAGCACAGGCTCTGGACGCGCAGGTTCAGCGGCCTCTACGGCATGTGGGATCCTCCCGGACCGGGGCACGAACCCATGTCCCCTGCATCAGCAGGCAGACTCTCAACCACTGTGCCACCAGAGAAGCCCGGACCTTGTTTTTTTATCCATGCTATATATACTAGTTTGCATCTGCTAATCCCAAACTCTCAATCCATCCCTCCCCTGCTCCCCTCACGCTTGGCAACCACAAGTCTGTTCTCTATGTCTGTGAGTCTGTTTCTGTTTCATAGATAAGTTTATTTGTGTCATATTTTAGATCCCACATATGAGTGATATCATATGATATTTTGTCTTTCTCTTTCTGACTTACTTCACTTAGTATGATAATCTCTAGGTCCATCCATGTTGCTGCAAATGGCATTATTTCATTCTTTTTTATGGCTGAGTCGTATTCCACTGTATATATGTACCACATTTTCTTTATCCGTTCATCCATCAATGGACATTTAGATTGTTTCCATGTCTTGGCTATTGTGAACAGTGCTGCTATAAACATAGAGGTGCATGTATCTTTTTTAATTATAGTTTTGTCCAGATATATGCCCAGGAATGGGATTGTTGGATCATATGGCAACTCTATTTTTAGTTTTTTGAGGACCCTTCATACTGTTTTCCAAGTGACTGCACAAATTCACATTCCCACCAACAGTGTAGGAGGGTTCCCATTTCTCCACACCCTTTCCAGCATTTGTTATTTGTAGACTTTTTAACGATGGCCTTTCTGACCAATGTGGGGTGATACCTCATTGTGGTTTTGGTTTGCTTTTCTCTAATAATCTGCGACATTGAGCATTTTTTCGGCATCCGTATTTCTTCTTTGGAGAAATGTCTCTTTAGGTCTCTGCCCATTTTTCAATTGGGTTGTTTGTTTTTTGTTTTTGAGTTGCATGAGCTGTTTGTAAATTTTGGAAATTAAGCCCTAATCGGTCTCATCATTTGCAAATATTTTCTCCCAGTCCATAGGTTGTCTTTTCATTTTGTTTATGGTTTCCTTTGCTGTGCAAAAGCCTGTAAGTTTCATTAGATCCCATTGCTTTTATTTCTACTGAATATTGGCTGTTATTCTTAAACCAAGCATAAGAGGATGAGGCCTGCACTAAGATAGCAGTAGTGGAGATAGAAGAATCCAGATTCAAGAAATATTAAAGGACTTCCCTAGTGGTCCAGTGGTTAAGACTCCACGCTTCCACTGCAGGGACATGGGTTCAATCCCTGGTTGGGGAAGTAAGAGCCCACATGCCGCTAGCGGCGGCCAGAGAAAAAAGAAAGAAAGAAGTATTTAAAAAGTGAGAAACTGGAGGCTGAAGTGATTGTAACATGGGAGAGGAAGGAGTCCAAAAAGGGCTGCCAGTCACTGTGATTCAGACCTTACAGGGAGGGGGTGGCAAGTCTTGCTGACTCTGAGATGCCCAAAAGACACCCTCCAGGTGGAGATTTCAAGTAGGCTGCTGAATCGACGGGTCTCAAGGCCAGAAGAAAGGTTGGGCTAAAGAGAGGGATTTGGAATCTTCACCATAAAATAGTCATTGAAGCCATAGGAGCAAGTGGCGTTTCCTGGGGAAAGTGAATAAAAAGAGAAAGATCCACGAAGAGGCCTGGGGAACTTTTAAGGGATAGAGAGAAAGAAGGCCGCAGAGGGAGGGCAAGGAGGAAGACTGGAGGAGGCAGAGGTCAGCGGGGTCACGGGCTGCTGAAGGGAAGTCAGGTCAGGAAACAGAAGGTTCCATTGGGTTTGGGGAGCAGAGTTTCAGTGGAGTGGTGGGGGCAGACTCGGGAAATGAGTGGGATACAAGGACGGGGTGACAGCCAAGATGGTTCCTTATTCAAGAGATCTGGCTTTGAAGGGAAGAGAGAAAGGAAGCAAATGTGAAAGGGAAAGTGGCTTTAAATGGAGAGACTGGAGCACAAGCAACTGATGATGCAGAGCAGTCAGGAGACAGACTGAAGGTGTGGGATGGAGGGAGGTGGCAGCGGGAGTGGCCCCTGGAGGAGAGAGGGGGCAAGCAGAGGGACCAGCCTTGCACAAGTGAAGTTGGGGAGCAGACACACAGGTAACCATAGGACGCAGGTGAGCCTGGAGGAGCTTGAAGACAGACCTGGCTGTGACAGCTGAGCAGACTTCACAAGCCATATGGCAGGCCACGTGTGCCGAAGGGATGTTGTCATTGCAGAACCACGGGGCAGGGACCCAAGGAGCCCCAGGCCAGCCTGAAGGGGGAAGCGGCACCGGGAGCAGGGGCCAGGCTCCAGGCTCCGGGAAGCCAAGCGCGGGTGCTGGGGGAGGGAGCACACACAGCGGGGCGCAGGCTGAGCGCGGCTGAGAGGCTGGGCTGGACTGAGCTGGGTGGCCGGGTGGCCGGGTGGCTCTCCCTCTCTCCTGTGCAGTGGGACCTGGTGTGCAACTCCAACAAACTGAAGGAGATGGCCCAGTCTGTCTTCATGGCGGGCATACTGATTGGGGGGCTCGTGCTGGGAGACCTGTCTGACAGGTGAGACACGGGGGCCTCGCCAGGGGAGGCATAACCCATGGAGACCCCCCGCCCCTCTCCATTCCACCCATGTACCCCCAAAGAGGCCAAGAGCTGGGGTAGGGGGGAGAGATGGTCCTTGCTGTGTGGCCAGCCCCTTTCATGGCCACAGCCTTCTCCCTGCCGCAAAACCCCTACAGCTTGAGTCTTCCAGCTTCAGACACAATAGTGGCTGCATGGCCGTGGGGGTGGGTGGATGAACGGCTTGGAGAGGAGCGGTCCTTTGACCCCTGCTCAGGTAGCTAAGCTGGGGGTTGAGGAGATCACTCATTAACTCAAAGGTCTAACTGCTAACTTGTCAACAAAAAACAGCAATTACCAGCAAGGCTCTGTCTGGGGAGGGAGTTACATGCCCTGCCTGGCCTTTTGGGAGGTGGAGGGTCCAGCCCTTTGCCCTGCAGAGTCACTGTCCTTGGCTGGCTCACAGCAGCTAACGACCCTCTTCTTTTTTCGAGCTGCAGGTTTGGCCGCAAGCCCATCCTGACCTGCAGCTACCTGCTGCTGGCTGCCAGCGGCTCAGGTGCAGCTTTCAGCCCCACCCTCCCCATCTACACAGTCTTCCGCTTCCTGTGTGGCTGCGGCATCTCAGGCATCACCCTGAGCACCACGATCTTGAGTGAGCCACAGGGGGAGGGGACGGGGACCAGGAGTTTGGGGAGCACCAGCCTGAAGCCAAGAGTGTGGCTCAGCCACAGGCACCGGGCAACCTTGGTCAGGCAAGGTGCTGCCCCTCTCAGGACCCCAGAGGCCCCCCCTGAACATAACAACAAGCATAACAGCAGCAGCTACCCCGGGCCTGGCATCTGCCAGGTACATGATCTCGTTCAGCCCATGCACACAAATAGGTAAAACAAGGGAAGTCACCTGCCACTGGAGAGGCAGTCAAGACTGCAGGCTTGGGAGTGACAGCCAAGATGGTTCCTTATTCAAGAGATCTGGCTTTGAAGGGAAGAGAGAAAGGAAGAAAATGTGAAAGGGAAAGAGGCTTTAAATGGAGAGACTGGAGCACAAGCAACTGATGATGCAGAGCAGTCAGGAGACAGACTGAAGGTGTGGGATGGAGGGAGGTGGCAGCGGGAGTGGCCCCTGGAGGAGAGAGGGGGCAAGCAGAGGGACCAGCCTTGCACAAGTGAAGTTGGGGAGCAGACACACAGGTAACCATAGGACGCAGGTGAGCCTGGAGGAGCTTGAAGACAGACCTGGCTGTGACAGCTGAGCAGACTTCACAAGCCATATGGCAGGCCACGTGTGCCGAAGGGATGTTGTCATTGCAGAACCACGGGGCAGGGACCCAAGGAGCCCCAGGCCAGCCTGAAGGGGGAAGCGGCACCGGGAGCAGGGGCCAGGCTCCAGGCTCCGGGAAGCCAAGCGCGGGTGCTGGGGGAGGGAGCACACACAGCGGGGCGCAGGCTGAGCGCGGCTGAGAGGCTGGGCTGGACTGAGCTGGGTGGCCGGGTGGCCGGGTGGCTCTCCCTCTCTCCTGTGCAGTGGGACCTGGTGTGCAACTCCAACAAACTGAAGGAGATGGCCCAGTCTGTCTTCATGGCGGGCATACTGATTGGGGGGCTCGTGCTGGGAGACCTGTCTGACAGGTGAGACACGGGGGCCTCGCCAGGGGAGGCATAACCCATGGAGACCCCCCGCCCCTCTCCATTCCACCCATGTACCCCCAAAGAGGCCAAGAGCTGGGGTAGGGGGGAGAGATGGTCCTTGCTGTGTGGCCAGCCCCTTTCATGGCCACAGCCTTCTCCCTGCCGCAAAACCCCTACAGCTTGAGTCTTCCAGCTTCAGACACAATAGTGGCTGCATGGCCGTGGGGGTGGGTGGATGAACGGCTTGGAGAGGAGCGGTCCTTTGACCCCTGCTCAGGTAGCTAAGCTGGGGGTTGAGGAGATCACTCATTAACTCAAAGGTCTAACTGCTAACTTGTCAACAAAAAACAGCAATTACCAGCAAGGCTCTGTCTGGGGAGGGAGTTACATGCCCTGCCTGGCCTTTTGGGAGGTGGAGGGTCCAGCCCTTTGCCCTGCAGAGTCACTGTCCTTGGCTGGCTCACAGCAGCTAACGACCCTCTTCTTTTTTCGAGCTGCAGGTTTGGCCGCAAGCCCATCCTGACCTGCAGCTACCTGCTGCTGGCTGCCAGCGGCTCAGGTGCAGCTTTCAGCCCCACCCTCCCCATCTACACAGTCTTCCGCTTCCTGTGTGGCTGCGGCATCTCAGGCATCACCCTGAGCACCACGATCTTGAGTGAGCCACAGGGGGAGGGGACGGGGACCAGGAGTTTGGGGAGCACCAGCCTGAAGCCAAGAGTGTGGCTCAGCCACAGGCACCGGGCAACCTTGGTCAGGCAAGGTGCTGCCCCTCTCAGGACCCCAGAGGCCCCCCCTGAACATAACAACAAGCATAACAGCAGCAGCTACCCCGGGCCTGGCATCTGCCAGGTACATGATCTCGTTCAGCCCATGCACACAAATAGGTAAAACAAGGGAAGTCACCTGCCACTGGAGAGGCAGTCAAGACTGCAGGCTTGGGAGTCAATCAAACCTACGTTTGAGTCCTACCTTCTTGAGCCTCAGTCACCGCATCTCTAAAATGGGGGCGATGAAACCTTAGGATCAGGGTCAGATCAAGTAGCGAACGGAAGGGCAGGAGCTGGTGCCCCTTCTCAGGAGGTGCCCGCCGCCCAGTAGGGTCTTAATCTGGTCCTTGGGTTCCCCCTGCAGGTGTCGAGTGGGTGTCCACCCGGATGCGGGCCATCAAGTCGATTTCACTTGGTTATTTCTACACCAGTGGCCAGTTCATTCTGCCTGGCCTGGCCTACGCCATCCCCCAGTGGCGCTGGCTCCAGTTAACCGTGTCCATTCCCTTCTTTGCCTTCTTCCTGTTGTCCTGGTATGTGACCCTCTTTTCTTCAGCCCCCTCCTTAGAGCCACCGGGATCAAACAGGAGGAGACCATGCCTGACCAGGCTGGCTGACTCTGCCTGTCCCGAGACACCCCATCCCAGAGTCAGGAAGGGCATTCCAGGGAGGAGGAACCACACACCGAGGCATGCGGGGAGGGAGCGCTCGGCTGGGGGGGCGCGGTGAGGGGGTTAGGGTCCGGCTGTGAAGAGCACAGACAGCCAGAGAGGCCTCGGTTTCACGTGGAGGGACAGAGAACGCCTCTGAAGGTGCCCGGGGTGCTGAGAGGTCTGACCAAACTTCCGTTCGTGACATAATCACACAGAAGGAGAAACCCAAGTGGGTGGGGACGCGAGACAAGGGGAAGTGACCGCGTAGGCAAGAGGAGCCTGGGGGACGAGTCTGAGGGGCATTTTGAAGGAGAAATCCTCAGAGTGTGGGAAGTTCTGGATTTGAGGTACAAAGAAAAGGAAAAGCTCCAACCTGGGAGAATCAAGGGGTCTGGGGCAGAGACCCCGAGTGAGGACATGTGGAAGACAGGAAACCAATCTGTAGGTGGTAGTTGATAGCTGGGCCCAAAGAACAGGAAATAATGAACAAGCCCAGGAGCAGAAATGAAGTCCTGGAGGATCCTTTATCCAGCACTTACTAGGTGCAAAGGCCCAGTTCTGGGCACCAACCCACATCATACCAATGCTCACGGCATCTCTGTGTGAAGGGGACATTAGTATTCCCATTTTACAGATGAGGAAACCGAGGATGAGAGAGGTGAAGCAATCCTCCAAGGTTACACAAAAAGACGCAGGACTGGAATGGGGCCTCCATTTGAAAATGAGAATAAGCTCCCAAGGGGACGGGCAACCTTGCAGTGAGAGAGATGGTCAGAGACTCCAGAGTGGAGTTCGGCATGTCCACAGCCTAGGATGGGAGCCGAGAGTTGGGAGGCAAAATAAGGGCAGATGGTCAGCAGGCCCCTTCACTGTGTGACTTGGGACAAGCCTCATCCACTCTGAGCCTCAAGATTTTTCTAGGCAAAATGGAGATACCAATGCCTGTCTCCCAGAGTTACATGTGCCTGGTCCACAGGAAGGCTCACTTATTGGAAGCCACTGTTGTCATTATTCTCAGGGAGAGGAGGATGGAATCCAGGCGCTGGCTATGGGATTTGGGAGGAAGTCACCCATCATCTTGGTAGGCGCAGGCTGAGAAGACTGTCAGGGCAGAAATGAGGCCACAAGGCCAGAGGGCAGGTAGCAATGGGCCCAGGAAGCTGCCACTACCAGCCGGACCAAAGGTCTGAGGCCAGGTGACCCGTGTCCACTCCCCTAAGGGTCTCACTGGAGCCAGATCTTGGGTGCCTGTGGGGTCCACAGCCGGAACGGACCCCACCTGGGACCAGGCTTTTCCAAGCATCCCTCCTTTCTCCCCACGCCTCTGCCTCCTCCATTTCCCTTCACTTTGTGACCCTCAGGGTTTGCTCAGGGGTGAACCAATCCCAAAAGCACAGCCCAAGGGTCGGGGAGAGTGAGGTTGGCCACACACTTGCCAACCCCAAGGCCCCATGTTGCGCTTGCAAACCGTCCCCCGACCCAGCAGAGTTGGCCTTTTGCAGGGAGAATCAAAGGGTCCACGGACCCATTCCCTAGACCACAACCCCAAACTTAGCCCCCTTCCTAAGCTGCCCTGGGACTGCAGCCCTGCCCCCACTTCACCCAGGACCTGGAATTCGGCTCAAGGATGGCTGGGGACGTGGACATGTAGGACCCTCCAGCTGTCTAGCCTCGAGCATGCCAACCCTTCCCCAGGCCCCACCTGCCTTGGCCTAGGGCCCGAGGCTCCTAGCTAAGGACAACACCCAAGGATAACAAGCTGCCCGGGGTCGGGGGCAGGGGAACGGCTCTTCTGGAAAGGGAAGAAGGGATCTCTGGAATTTGTGCCGGCTGCAGGCAGCCCAGGTGCAGAGCTTGACCAAGTTTAAATTCCATGAAACCTGCAATAAGGCAGCTCGGGTTTCAGGTCCTCCTAGCCTGCGGCCCTAGCTCTTGATCTTTTTCCAGCCTCTCAGAAGAACTTCTGGTGTTGGAGGTGGGGGGTTGGGAGCCACTGTGACTTGGTTCTGGCCCCCAGGTGGCTGCCAGAGTCCATACGCTGGATGATCCTGTCTGGAAGGTCCTCCAAGGCCCTGAAGACATTCCGGCAGGTGGCAGCCTTCAATGGCAAGAAGGAGGAAGGAGAAGCACTCAGCCTGGAGGTAGAGACCCAGAGGGATTGTGGTCTGGGGCACGAACCTGGGCTCTGCTCTTGGACTGTCCCCTCCTCTTGCCTCTGTTTCCCCTGCTCACAAGCCTACATCTGATGCCCTAAGCAAGCTCTTCCAAAGGCACCAGGCCTGCACCTCCCTCTCTTCTCCCTCTGCCCACCAGCTGGTCGCTAATGGACCGCCCCCCTTCCTCTGCCCCAAGGAAATCAAACTCAACCTGCAGAAGGAGATCACCTTGGCCAAGGCCAAGCACAGCATAGCTGACCTGTTCCGGACACCCATCCTGCGCCGTGTGACCTTCTGTCTTTCCCTGGCCTGGTAACCCACCACCCCTCCCTGCCCACACCCTAGCACCCCTGCCAAGCAGGGGTCATGAACAAGGCTTCTGGCAGGCTCACCTAAGGGCAAGGCCTAAAATACCTGCAAGAAGAGTCAAGGGATCCCCTCCTCAGGGCTTCCCCAGTCCAGCCCCAACCCCAGAAATCTCTGGCATCCCTGCCCCACACCCAGGTCCAGCCATAAGGGTCTGCTTCCTTCTGGGATCACACCCACCTCACCCACAGGGCAAATACTCCAAACACCTTCACCAGCTCACAAACCTACCATGTGAGCTGTGCCTGTCTGTCCCTGTCCCCCACTGGTTCCACTCTGCCCTCTGGGACCCCACAGAACAAGCCTGGCTCTCAGGGCTTCAAGATTTAACGACAGAAATTGTGATTCTTCTAAGTCTTCTCTTTTGCCCAACATCCCACATCTCCTTCAAAGCCTTTTCCGTGACCTGGTTCTGACGCCCTTCTCATCCTGGCCACCCCCATGTGAAAAGGATTCAGTATATCCAGGAACTCTTCAAAAGGGATCCCACAATTCTGAGAGGGGGAGGGGAGGCATCTGACCCATGTGTGCAGCCCTGGGGACTTTCACCTCCCCCATCTGAATGTTAAACCATTACCCAACAAAGAGAGATTGTTTACTGCCTCCTTTGGTCTCCAAGAGTCCCTCCAGGACCGATATTCTCTGGAGTCAATTATATTGCACTTTGTCACCATACCCTAGACCTTGTCCATGTCAGACTTAACCAATCAATCCCAGCACTCTCTCACTGAGCCCAGACACAATCTCAGAGGCCTCAAAACAGCACTGAAGCAGCCCCTATCAATCTGTTGCAGTTGGGACAAGAAATGAAACTATTCATCATCCTGGTGACCCAATGAGCAGTATGGGGAGAGGCCCCCGCCTGGCTGGGGGTCCTGATCAATCACTCTCTGACCCTCAGGTTTTCCACCGGATTTGCCTACTACAGTTTGGCTATGGGTGTGGAGGAATTTGGCGTCAATCTCTATGTTCTCCAGCTCATCTTTGGTGGGGTTGACGTCCCAGCCAAGTTCATCACTATGGTCTCCATAAGCTATCTGGGCCGGCACACCACGGAGGCCGTTGTTCTACTCCTGGCAGGGGGATGCATCCTGTCTCTCATCTTTGTGCCTTCGGGTGAGAAGCTGGGTCGACCCCAGAACCCTCCGAAAGAGGCTGACCCGTGAGACCAATGTGTCTGTGGGCCTCACAGGCTGGGAAGTGGGGTTCCAGGGACTCCAGATCTGCTGAGTCTGCCTCTAATTCACTGTGTTACCTTGAGCAGCTCCCTGTACTCTCTGGGGCTCAGGTTTCTCGTCTAGAAAATAACACAGGTGGGCTAGATGATATCAAAGATCCTTTTCAGATCTGACTCAGGGCAAAGTATGGTGGTGTCTACACAGTGAGAGGAATTGCTCAGGATTTGGGTGTTGCTTGGGTGACATCGCTGCAGAAGACAAGCTTGGATGGGGAAACGTCAGAGCCCAGTGCTCAAGGAACACCCCACAACCTACTCCACCGTGACCTTGGAAATGCCACTTTTACTTTATATAGATGTTTGTGTGTTGATACACCTATATCCTTCCAAAGGAACTGGAGATATTTTAGGACAAAAACAGATACAACAAAATATGAGAATAGGGAATCAGAGCCAGGGAAAAACCCAAATGCAGCAGGACACAAGCCTGCGAAGCACTGGGAATAGCAGAGGGGCTATTACTCAGCTTTAAGTTTGGATGTGAGCTGTCCGGCAGCCAAAGCAAAAAGGGAGACAAGGTCTCTGAGGAGTGAGAACACTCAGGGGCTCCTGAGCCCCCAAGGTCTACTGCGTTTTCTTTCCTGTGCAGACTTGTTGACCCTGAGGACAGTACTGGCTGTGTTTGGGAAGGGATGCTTGTCCAGCTCCTTCAGCTGCCTCTTCCTCTACTCGAGCGAGCTATACCCCACAGTCATCAGGTAGGTGCTGGGCTGGAAGCGGCCCAGCCAAAGGATGCAGGGGCAGGTGGGATTGTGGCCCCTGTCCAGGGGTCCCAGAGCTGTTCTTTGAGAACCCGCACAGAGGCTGCCAATCTCTGCTCTGAACTCTCCCAGGCAAACAGGTATGGGCATAAATAACCTGTGGACCCGCGTGGGAAGCATGACGGCCCCACTGGTGAAAATCACCGGGGAGCTGAAGCCCTTCATCCCCAACGTCATCTTTGGGACCATCGCCCTCCTGGGAGGCAGTGCAGCCCTCTTCCTGCCTGAGACGCTCAATCGGCCCTTGCCAGAGACTGTTGAAGACTTAGAAAACTGGTCAGTCCCCTGTTTCTGGCCCCACCAGTCCTCCTCCTTGGGGAAGCCCAGGGCTTTTCCTGAGCTCTCTTTCCCCAGGTCCCTGCAGGCAAAGGAGCCAAAGCAGGAGCCAGAAGCGGAAAACGCATCCCAGAGGATCCCTCTGCAGCCTTGTGAACTGGGCCTGGGCCCCAACTGAAGGCAACAGACCCTCCTTTCCCTGCCCTCCAGAGACTAATCCCAGCCAGGTCCTTGCCTGTCTCTAGGCTCCGCAGGCACCTTGGGGAGGGCCCTGGGTGCAACTATGCTCCTAGGACACAGTCTTCTGAGAACTTGATGGAGGTATCTCCACCACCACCGGAGCTCCCCAACCCAGCCCTGGCCAGTTCAAAAGTTTGGCCACAGGCCTTTGCACACCCCACCTTGTCCTCACCCTCCCTGCAGCCCAGGCCCTGCCATTCTTCTGTCCAGCCCTTCCCCACTGACCACTTCCCCTATTGTTCCCACTCCCTTCCCCTTCTTGCTCCCACCCCTTTCTTCAATGGGAGGTTTCAATAAACAGCAGTGAAGAACTCAAGCCATGCTGCTCAGGAACAGGGGTGGGAAAGGGGGCAGGGCCTGGGATGGACATGTGAGCATGTGCATCTGCCCATCCACACTGGCATGTACATACAGGTATGGGCACACAGGTACATGCAAGGTGGGCTGATGTGAACACGTGTGTCCAGTGCGAGCACACTGATGTGTGTATACGCCAAGCCTGTATTAGTCGACTTGGACTGCTATAACAACATGCCACAGATAGAATCACTTAAACAATTTCTTCCTCACAGTTCGGGAGGCTGAGAAGTCCAAGATCAAGGTGCTGGCAGACTCAGTTCCTGGTGAGAGCCCCTTTCCTGGCTTGCAGATGGTCAGATACCTTCTCACTGTGTCTCACATGGCGGGAGAGAGATGAATCGAGCTTTCTGGTTTCTCTTCTTTTTTTTTTTTTTTTTTTTTTTGTAAGCGGGCCTCTCACTGTTGTGGCCTCTCCCATTGCAGAGCACAGGCTCCGGACGCGCAGGCTCAGCGGCCATGGCTCACAGGCCCAGCCACTCCGCAGCGTGTGGGATCTTCCCGGACCGGGGCACGAACCCGTATCCCCTGCATCGGCAGGTGGACTCTCAACCACTGCGCCACCAGGGAAGCCCTCTCTTCTTTTAAGGGCACTAATCCCATCATGAGGGCCCCACCCTCATGACCTCATCTAACTCTAATTACCTCCCAAAGGCCCCACCTCCTAGTACCATCATATTGGGGGTTACAATGCAGTCTATAGCAAGTCCTGTCCTTGGAAATACCACATGTGTATCCATATGTCCCATCATGCGTGTGAGCACTTGACTATATAAGCCCAGAGTGGCTGCAGACGGAAGCCAGGGCTCCTCCAATCCCGACCTCCTTCTCCCTGCTCACCCCAAGTCTCTGATCCATGTCCCAACCCTGCGCCCACCAGGCAGCTTTGTCTCCTATTTGAGAAAACTGCAACCGTAACTGAACATTGTCGATGTCTGCCACCATGTTTCCCAAGTTTCCCCCAATCACAACAGAAAGTCCAGTCCTCCCATTGGGGCTCTGCATCCAGCCTCTCCCACCAGCAGCCATCTGCCTTCTCCTTGGGTCTCTGCCCTCTCCCTCTCTCCTGGCTCCTTCCCATCACCAGTTAAATAAACCCAAGTCTCTCCTATCTTAACACAAACCAACCAACCAACCTTCCTTGGAGGCCACATCTCCCTCCAGGGCCACACTGTCTCTTTCTCCACTTCACAGCCAAACTTCACAAAGCTCCTGTCTGCCTCCCCTGCCTCCACTCTCTAACCTCATCCAAACTGCACTCTGGCTCCCACCCTTCTCTGAAGTTGTTTTCACCAACAACTCATCAGCCCCTGTGCCAAATCCATAGGTCACTTGTCATCCCTTGTCTTACTTGACCTCACAGCAGATTTCGTTCTATTGGTCATGGCCTCCTTCCTTGGTTTCTGAGATGCCACGTGCTTACAGCTCCCTCCCACACTCTGGCTTCTCCTTCTCAGTATCCTTTGGGGTTTCCTGTAAAATGCTATGGTGATCACTTTGTCCTGCACCCACACCTTCCTCAAGGGCCTACAGTCCCCAGAACCTGCTAACTGAACAGTTAACATGACCCTGCACCTCTGGTCATGACTGACTGGACCAGAGGGCACTTCAGATCCAAATCTCGTTAATCACATGTTCCCTCCGGGCTGGAATTTGGGTCATGGAGGTTCTAGTCCATCTCTTGTTTCTTGTCCTGAGAAGGCAAGTTAGCATGAAGGTGGGCTGGCCCAGGGAAAAGTAGAGCAGAGAAGATCAGTTGCAGAGAAAGAATGAAGCAGGTGCACAGAGGGAAAAACAAAAAAAGACATGGGCTCACATAAACAGATAAACAAATGGTGAGACCATTTGCATTTATTCTTTTTTTTTTAATTTATTTTTGGCTGCTTTGGGTCTTTGTTGCTGCGTGCGGGCTTTCTCTAGTTGTGGTGAGCAGGGAATACTCTTCATTGTGATGTGCGGGCTTCCCATTGCGGTAGCTTCTCTTGTTGCGGAGCATGGGCTCTAGGCATGCGGGCTTCAGTAGTTGCAGCACGCAGGCTCAGTAGTTGTGGTTCGCGGGCTCTCAAGCGCAGGCTCAGTAGTTGTGGCGCACGGGCTTAGTTGCTCTGCAGCATGTGGGATCTTCCCCGACCAGGGCTCAAACCCATGTCCCCTGCATTGGCAGGCAGATTCTTAACCACTGCGCCACCAGGGAAGTCCCTGCGTTGATTCTTAACAGATTCCAGGTCCCAATTTCCTCTCAGCCCTGGATGCACTTTCTACCCCTGGGTTCTATCAACTATTTTGACTTCTCTGAATAAACTCCTTTTTTTCAAAGATAAACTCAAGTGTTTCTGTTCCTTATAACCAAACAATTCCAAAAGCAATTCCTTTATCAGCTCTTAATGATCATCTCTCAAAACTCTTCCTAGGACCTCTTCCTGTAGGATTCTTTACCAGCACTGTCCAGTGAAAATATAATGCAAGCCACTTGTGTAATTTTAAAATTCCTAGTAACTATTAAAAAGATGAAATTACTTTTAATACTATAATAATATTTTTATTTAAACCAATATATCCATATATTACCATTTCAACATGTAATCAATAGAAAAGTTATCAATGAGATATTTTATAGCCTTTAATTCATACTGAGTCTTCAAAATCCATATGTATTTTACCCTAACAGCATAACTCCATTAGGATTAGCTCAATTCAGGCGCCCAGTGGTAGCTAGTGGCTACCATACTGGACAACTCAGACACACAGCAGGGCTTCAATTATCAGCCACGGAGCTAATTACTCTCAAGTCTGTATTTAGATATTTGTGAGAGAGTGCTTAATAAACATGAACTAAATCATATTGCCCCCACACTTCAATTTTTTGGTAACGTCCCATCGGGATGAAGTCTAAACTCTGTTACAAGGCCCATCATGATCAGGCCCCAACCTACCCCAGTGGCTTCAGTTTTTAACACCCTCTACCTTGCACCCTGAAATCTAGCCTCATTTCACTTCTTTCGGTTCCTAGACTGCAACAGCTCCTCTTATGCCTGCCCCTCATCCCTGCCCGGCACCTGACTTCTCCCCATCCCACCTCCACAACATTTGACTTAGGGTCAGCTGACAATGGGACCACCAATGTCTCCCCTTGGCTTGAGTGGGTCTCAACCTGCAGAGAGAAGAATTGGGTTCAGTGAAGGACACTGGCTCTCTCACCCCATCCCCATCTTTCAGTTGTCCAGAATTCAGGGTGGCTCCCAGGATGTCCTAGCTGTTCCTGTGCTGTATCCGGGGGTTTACTGCAAAGACACACGGGAAGGTAAGGGAAGATGCCCAGGAAAGCAGCTCCTAGTCACGTGTTCAGGACTCCTGGTGACCTGGGATGCTGGTGTCAGGTTGTACTGACCGCCCCCCACCCCATATATGCCATTCCTCTGGCCATTCCCAACTCCCCATCTGGATTCCACCCTCTCTCCATGTCTGCTTGCTCCTCCACAAATCCAGCTCCTCCCGCTTTCCCTATTCACTTCTCTCTGTCCCTGAACTGGCTCAGTGAATTGCCACCCAATGTGGAGCACCTCACTTGGGGGGCGTCCTCATACTGAGCCACTTCATTGGCTACTAGACTCATATCCAGCCTTTAAATGGCAGTCTTTGGATTAATTTCTAACTTATATACTACCCATTGGCCAGAGTAGCCAGGCCACAAGGCATAAAGCTCACAATCTGGCTCCTTGCTCCGAATGTTGTAGACCTGGCAGGCACTTGGAGTCTGCCAGACTTCTCTCCAGGTCAATCATTTCAACTCCCACTTAGGGCCTGTGATCTGAGCAAGAGTGTTTTCTTTATCTGTAAATTATTTTATTCGAAAAGTCTCACAAAATAATCAACATCAAAATCACATGTAGTCACACACCTTAAATCCCATTTATTTAATGGAATAAAATTATACAAAATCTGGATGTCTCAGAAAATCTGGGATATGTGATGGCTGCTAACATAGCAGAAGCAATGGAATCAAGAGGGCTGAGTTCTAGATTTGCTTGCTGTGTGATCCTAGACACATCCCTTGCCTACTCTGGGCCTTGGTCTCCTCATCTGCACAATAGACATTTTCACCTGTGTGATGGGGTTCATCACTAATAGCACGTGGTTCTGTGGCTCCAGTCGGAAGGCCTCAGATTTGACCCCTTCTCGGTGAGCATGGCCAGAACTTAAGTCCACATTCCAGTGAGCACAGGGGAGTCCAACTCTGGGTGTTTAATGACCCAGAATGTCCCTAAAGGATAGTTCCTGGCTCTACAAATCATTTGCCAAGGGAGCAATTCCATCCAGAAACTCTCCATGAGCTGAGAGGCTGGTGGGGAATCCCCTCACTAACCAGCTAATTCCAGGAGCCAACCACAGTTCAGTCCCTAGAGTCTCCAGTTGAGCCTTTTCCAGACTTAGGCTGGCTTGGAGCTGGTCAGACACTAGGGAGGGAGCTCTTCTCCCGGGCAGGACTGGACACAGGCTCAGAGAAGAAGGGTGCTTGTAGGGGCCCACAATCTCCCCCACTGCACTTGGCACTCCACCCACTCCCCCATGAGTGCACCAAGT